GCTGCTGCTGCTGCTGCTACTGCTGCCAGAGCCGGTTGCAGGGGGGCGCGCGGGTCTTGTGCACCTCGGCCGGGCGCTCCCCTCAAGCAGCGGGCGCGGGCGGGGCATAGCGGCGCGGGCGGGCTCCGCTTCTGCGCCTGCGCGGGCTGTGGCTCCCTGCCTTGTGTGCTGCTTCATTTTCTGCCCCCTGCCTCAGATGCTGCTCTGCTTTCCGCTCCGTCTCCATGTGCTGCTTTGTTTTCGTGCTCCCTGTCCCGCCCCGCAGCTGCTGCTCTGCTCTCCGCTCCCTGTCCCATGTGCTGTGCGGCGCACAGAGCCTGCCCCTGCCCCTGGTGGAGACGGGCCCGCCCCGGCCCGCGCGACCGAACCTGACACTGCCCCGGTGGTGCTCGCCCTTTCCGCCTAGGGAGTTGGAGGGACAGCACTCAGGCCAGCTGTGGGCCGGATCCGGCCCCGGCTCACGTGGAGGAAGGCAAACAGTCACATGGAGGGGGCAAAGGGAAGGGACGCTGCTGTGTGGGGAAAGGGCGCTTGGCCCAGCCCGCAGCGGTGGGAGGGGGCATAGGCCTGGCCCCTGTCCAGCTCGGGGGCCCAGCTCCAGTCTTGCCCCAACCTGGCTATGCGGAGGGAAGGGGACATGGCCCGTCTTCCACCGTCCATGCTGGCCTTGGAAATTGGGATTTTGGCAGTAGGGGAAGGTGGCTGTATTAATTGCCATGGCTCTCCCACTGACAAATTTCCCAACCCACGGGAAGTCCTGCAGGCCAAATGTCACAGCTCTGCAGGCTGGAGGTTGAGCACCACTTAATGAACAGAGTAGCATCTTTTTAAAAGAAATAGGCAGGAGTCAGACAGAGCTGGTACCTGCTTCGACAAGTCTGTGGCATGCCATCATCCTGGTGGTCCCATTAGTTTATGCAGAGCCTAGTGGGGGTCTTGCATGATGTTTCTCTGCACAGGCTGAGGAAATATCTAACTACTCAGGGGTTTCCAACTGAGGTTTGTGGATTGCACTGGAGCAGTTCAATTAGAATTTGATGTTTCTCAAGAAAATTTGAAACTTGACAAGACAATGGTCTGTCCGTCTAAAAAGCTTATGAACTATTGGTCTAGATAGATTCACCATATAATGGCCATACTAACTATTGGGTTACAGTTTTCAACTAGTTTATCACTGCATTGTCAAACTGAGAAGACATTTGAAATGAGATTCTACTAAGAATGGGGGGGACGTTCATCTTGGGTTCCACTGTATTAGTATTTTTATTAACCATTTAGATGAGTTCATATGTAAGATTTACAGATGAGAGCAGGCAGGGAGGGTTTGTAAGCAGTTTGGAGGGCATGATTATCATTCAAAATTATCTTGATAAATTAGAGAAATGGTCAGTAATCAATCAGATAAAACTCAGTGAAGATAAGTGCAAAAAGGTACTGCTCATAGGAAAGAGAAATTAAATGGATCAGTGCAAATTAGGAAATAATGGACAAAGCAACTATGGCAGCAAAGGATCTGGGAATAATAGTGAATCACAAACTAAATATGAGTCTGCCATATTTGGAAAAGCGCAGGCTCAGGGGTGATCTGATGGCCACCTATAAGTTTGCAAGGGGTGTCCACCAGGATCTGGGGGAACGTTTGTTCACCAGAGCGCCCCAAGGGACAACAAGGTCGAACGGTTATAACCTCCTCCAAGACCATTTCAGGCTGGACATAAGGAAGAATTTCTTTACTGTCCGAGCCCCCAAGGTCTGGAATAGCCTGCCATTGGAGGTGGTTCAAGCACTTACTTCGAACGCCCTCAAGAGAAAATTGGATGCTTATCTTGCTGGGATCCTATGACCTCAGCTGACTTCCTGCCTCTGGGACAGGGGGCTGCACTCGATGATCTTCCGAGGTCCCTTCCAGCCCTAATGTCTATGAAAGTCTATGAAATACCATGCATTTGGAAAAAAGGCAAATTTCATTCTGAAATCTATTAACAGAAGTGTTAAACATGTAAAATGTAAGAAGTAATTATTCTACTCTACTCTGCCTGGTGAGGCCTCAGTTGGAGTACTACATCCAGTTTTTGGGAATCAGATTTTAAGATTGATACAGAAAAATTGGAGGAGAGCAATCAGAGAAAGGTAAAAGATTTGGAAAATATCATCTATTAGAAAAGGCTGGAAGAAATTGATTTGTTTAGTCTAAAAACAAGAAGACTAAGGATGCAGGAATATGCTGCTAACAGTCTTCCAATATTTTAAAAGTTGCTATAAGGAAGATGCTGATCTATTGTTCATCTCATCTAATAAGTAGGACAAGAAGTAATCAGCTTAATTTGCAACAAAGCAGAATTAAGTTGGATATTAGGAAAACCTTTTCTAACTCTAAGCATAGTTAAGTTGTAGAGGAAATCTAGGGAGGTTGTGACATCCCTGTAATTGGAAGTTTATGAAAAGATTAGACTAACATCTGTGAGAAAGTCACCAGGAGAGACTCAATGACCTGCTGAAGCCCCTTCCTCTTCTATATTTTTGTAATTTAAAGACTCAACACTGCAATATTTGAGTCCCTTTCCACAATAAGTCATACATCCTTACCTGGCAGGGTAAGGGTACCATGATCAACTAGGGCAGTTTTTCTAGGGACAGGGGATAAACACTTTTCTGGCATGGGGTAGTATTCGCAGAGGTAACATATAGTTACCCTCCCAAGTTCATTGCCCTTGGGGAAGATCTTGGCTTTACGTCCACTTTATGGAAATGGGAGACTTTTCCCTAGCTTGCTTCTGCAGCCATATGGCTGAGGGCAAGTGAAACTCAGGGGCATCTGAACCCCAAGCCTTGGGCCTGCACGTAGGATGTCCACCAAATGATTTGGAAACACTGAAGCCCCAGGTAGGGGTGGAGGATGTTTGCCAGTTGCAGGGCCACACATGGTTCTTGAATGACTCACGGATTTGGAATTGATTTGGCTTGGAACACAAAAATTTTTACTTAAAAAAAGGTCATACATCCTGAAATTTCAGGATTTTTTCCTCATCTTCCTTGAAAATGGGAGTTAAATTGGTTTTATTTTACCTTTCTCCAAGTTGGTAAACCTTGTAATATACCCACTTGAGCAAATAAACTTAATGGAAATAACTGGAAGATCTTTCCTTCTTTGGTGGTAGTCTCATTATTCATGCTTCCTGGTTTATTCTACTGCTTTTGTTCGGTTTCTGGCTTGGTAAACACAGGAATTCAGTAGTAGATCATCAAGGAACCAGAAATAAAAGACAGATTCCAGGAAAGCTGGAGTTGGGATGAAGAACACCTTTAATTCAATCTGTGTTTGAATTATTCAAAACTTTATAAGCCAAATTTTATTCTCACAGCCTGATGAATGTGGAGAACACATACTGAAGTTAATGGAGTCACTCCAGATTTAGAGCAGGATAAGCAAGAGGAGAGTGGCATCCTGCACATTTAGACAATTGTATGGGAATGACAGTGTCCCGGAATATGCTCTGCTGGATTTGTTGGAGGGGATATTGTAATATAAGCACTTGCACAGTAATATAGGACTGTTTTTGTTTCTGAGGCCAAGACCTATAGTCTCACCCTTGTCTCTGGTAATGTTCTTAGAAAAAGTGGAATCCATACCCTATAACTGTTTTAGGGCAGTCAGATGATTGTCAAAATTGTTATTTTACCCTATGTTGCTAATTTCATTCTTTCACCTAATAAAGCACTTGGACTCATTTTCTCATTCATCTCTCAAAATGATCTCCACCCATTAGGATTTCCTGGGTGTGGTGGATGGATTCCTCTGTTCATTTGTGGAGAATAAGGTAATGATTTTATTGGAAAATGTTTCATTCTTTAAAAAAAAAAGTACTCTGTGCATGAAAAAGACCTTTGTACAATTTGCTCTTGAAAAAAAACATTGTTTCTGGCAAAACTGTATGGCATATTCTAAACTGTAATGAGAGCTCCTTGGCCGAAAGTCCAAGTACTTAAAGGTCCAGAACTTGATTTTGAAATACTTTAAGATCAGTCAGTGGTTTTCCCCATGAATGCTGCATACTCTGCAACATAAATTCTGTATCCATGTCCTCTTCCTCTTGAAAAAAAAACTTTTAAGTACGGGTTACAGGTTGGCAGATTTATCAGAACAAGCAGGACAGTCTTAAATTTTAAAGGAATTTTAACATAGAATCACAGAAAATTAGGATTGGAAGGGACCTCAAGAGGTTATCTAGAGCAACCCCCTACTCAAAGCAGGACCATCCCCAACTAGGACTTTCCAGCCAGGACTTTGTCAAGCCGGGCCTTAAAAACCTCCAAGGATGGAAATTCCACCACTTCTTTAAATAAGGTGCTTAACTACCTCCCAGTACTTCACCACCCGCCTAGAAAGAAGCTTTTTCCTAATATCCAACCTAAACCTCCCTTGCTGCAACTTGAGACCACCGGTCCTTGTTGTCATCTGTCACAACTGAAAACAGTCTAGCTCTATCCTCTTTGAAACCACCCTTCAGGTAGTTGAAGGCTGCTATTAAATCCCCACTTAGTCTTCTCTTCTGCAAACTAAATAAGCCCAGTTCCCTCAGCCTCTCTTCACAAGTCATGTGCCTCAGCTCCCTAACCATTTTCATTGCCCTCTGCTGGACTCCCTCCAACTTGTTCACATCCTTTCTACAATGAGGGGCCCAAAACTGAATAC